TACTCTTCATTTTCATTTGAAGGGAACCATAATCAGTCTTTGAGAATTAGACTGTAGATGGTTTAATCCCTAACTTTGTCTTGAAAGAGGGACCATAATCAACCAAGTAAAGGCACCTCGTTGTAGATGGTTTATTTCTCTCTTTTTCCTTTCTCAAAAGTAATAATAAAAGAGAGAGAAAGAAGGATACATAGCAGAAGACATAAATAGCAAGTATTCACAGAGAAGACTTTCCTTTTCTCTACCTGTATTAGTGAGACTTTTCCTTCCTTGCCTTCCCTTGAGCACTTCTCTTTTCTTCTCTCCWYATCTTYKCTTTTCTTAAGAATCTCTTGTGAAAATTTTCTCCGAAGAGTCTCTCCGTGTGTATGTGTTTCTAGCTTCCCCTTAAGGAGCTTAAATAGGGAGTGCAGTGGTTATGTAACTACCCCCTCCTCCTAGGTGAAGGACATCTGTCCCTCCCACTTAAAGATAGGGAACTCCCCACTTAAAGAGAGAGAACTCCCCGCTTTGGAGGGGGAACTCCCATACGAGATACTTTTTTATAATTTTAATGATTTGGCTAGTAGACTAGCTAGCCCACTTATTACAAATTATTTGAATAAAAAAAATGACTTCAACAGCCCTGTATAAAAAGCACATTGGAGGACAAAGGCAAGAATTATGCCTTCTTCTCTACAACATATCACAAGTATTACTTTTTCAAAGGAAAATTTCCCAGCAGAAAGCTTGAATCGTTGGTGGAATAGGCTTACTCTGGATCTCTTTCACTGAGAAGCAATTCCTAAAGAAATAAGTAGGGTGAGGTTTTTGAAAAAAGAGGAGTAGGTGAGAAGACCATTAAGAGAGGCTAACCAAATCCTAGTGTCTGCAATGTTTTGATCTAAGAACAATGTGCCCAAAAGACCAAGTAAGTGAATAAGAGAAGCATATTCATTTTCTCTTTGGCCTCTTCCAAAACTTAGGATCCAATTTACCCCTTGGGGTGAAGGTGTTCCCAAATCTAAAATTATTTTTACCTTTAAGATTTGAAAGGGCATAAATCTTGAGGAACTGTGTTCTGATTGGTGTTTCCCCAAGCCAAAGGTCTTCAAAAACCAAATTCTATCACCCCTTCCCGCATTAAAATGGATGGAATTGAGAAAAGTTGGGTATTGTAGAGAAGATGGGCCGAATGGCCCATAGGCTGTTTATCCTTTTTTATCTTTTATGTTCTTTGCTTTAATGGGCCTTATTCTGGGCCTATTCTTTCTATGTTATGTTCTTTTAATTTCTTGCCCAACTAAGGGCCTCTTTGTAAATTATCAAAGTTTAACTTAATAAAATTGTGTTAGGGGTGTAAGAGTAGAGATTAAGGTTCGAAACTCTCTTACTCTGAACCCTTATTGCCGCCATCTTCTTCTTCATCTTCTCTTCCATAGAAGAATGATTTCTGTTGTTTTATTCTGATTTCTGCATCTGTTCTAAACAGTCCTTTATTCTCAAAAGACTGTTTTTCTTCTGGTATACCTCGTGAATTGCTTTCCAAGAAGAAGCTGAGGTTGAATGGGGGATAGCTTTGCATTTAACCATTTCTTTCTAATCCATGAATTCTTTCAATTACCTTGTGCCACAACCTGTCTCTTTCAAAGGGAAATCTCTACAACCATTTGCCTAGTAACATAGTATTCCTAAGAACAATGTTCCCTATCCCTAGATCTCCTTTCTCCTTGGGTTGGTAACCTGTTCCCTTTTGACAAGATGATCTGTCTTTTCCTCTCCTGGTTCTCACAGGAAATCCTTCATATATTTCTCTAATTTCTCTATGATCCTAGTCGAGATATGAAAGGTGGAAAGAAAGTGAATAGGAAGATTTGCATGTGTTGCTTTGAACAAAGTTATTCTACCTCCCAAAGAGATGTAATTCCTTTTCCACAAGGTTAACTCTTTTGCAAATATCTCCACCACTAGCTTCCCAAATATAACCTTGGGTTTTCTCCAAATGGTAGTCCTAGGTAAACTATAGGCCAATTCCTATCCTCATAGCCCAAAGTTTCAGCAATTCTAAGGAAGTCCCCTTGTTCCATATTAGTTCTTGCTATTCCACTTTTCCTCTAATTAACTTTCAAGTAAGAAGCACTGAAGCACACTCAAAACTCTCAATCAAGCCCTTCAAGTTCCTAGCAATCTATGGGCCATATCCCTCACAAAACAAGATTGTATCATCAACAAATTGGAGATGGGAGACAACAATTTGATTCCTACCAATCAATCCTCCTTAATAACCAATCTTCTTAAGACCTTTGCAACTAGTGAAAAGGAAGGGGAGGTAAAGGGTATCCTTGCCTAAGCCCTATTTTGGCCAGGAAGAAGTCTTCCAATTCCATTGATTAGAATTGAGTAGTGCACTAAGCTAATACAACCTTCAATCTATAATCTCCATCTAGCTCCAAAACCAACTCTTTCTAGGATCTTTAAAAGAAAAGTCCAACCCATTAAATCATAAGCCTTTTCTAGATCCAATTTACACTCTAGCTTATTTTCTCCACTCCTTTTCTCTATAACACATTCATTGGCCACCAAGATTTGATCTACAATTTGCCTGCCTTCAACAAAAGCACCTTGAAATTGTGAGATTGATGATGGTAGGACACATTTCTATCTTTCAGACAAGACCATTGAGATAATCTTTTAAGACTTCCAATCTTATTGGTCTATCGTCCTTTGGGGTTTTTGCCTCCTTTTCTTGGCACCAAGGATATAAAAGTGGCATTAGCCTCATGAGAGACTTCCTTTTTTTGGAAGAATTCTTTAAAAACTTCAAGGTCTCCTTGTAGAGTCTTCCAACAATCTTGGTAAAAAGCCATAGAAAAACCATTCGGCCCATGGGCTTTGGACCTCTCCATTGAGAAAATTGTTTACCTAATTTCCTTAAGAGAAAAATTCCTTTCTAGAAATTGTACTCTGAAATATTATCCCAATCCCAACCCAGAAAATTTGAGCAACTCCCACTTGACTCTGAGAACAAATTTTTGAAATGATTCATGAAGACTAATAATCTCCATCTCCTCTCTTATTTCTTGTCCCTCCACTTTGATACTAGAGATAGTGTTTTTCCTTCTTCCATTTACAAGAGAGTGAAAAAATTTTGTGTTACCATCCCCTTCTACAATCCATTTGTAGATGGGTTTCTGCCTCTAGCAGATCTTTTCTTTCCTTAAAATCTCTTCCAAATCAATCTTTGGTCTCCATACTTCCTCTCTTTCTTCCTCTGTCATCACTCCTTAGGCCTCTTTTCTATCAAACACTTCAATCCTTGAGTATACCATTTCTTGGACTTTTTTAATCTACCAAATATATCACTATGAGTAAATAGGGAGGACTTGGCCCGTCTTGCCCTGATCCCAAAATAACAGTATGCACACTGCACTCTAAAGAAAAAACAAAACCCCAAGGATTCTTTTAATATACCATAATATTCTTTATTCCACAATTTTATTTTCTCCTTCAACCTCTTTAATTTCCTAGAAAAGCCCACAATTTTCCCTCTCCCCAAAGATCTATCCTCTCTCCACCATTCCTTAACATTCTTCCCAAAGGAAAGGATCTTTCAACCACATTTTCTCAAATCTGAAAGGTGAAGGACCTCCAATAGCTGCTTACATCTCAATAGATGGGACAGTGATCTGAGGTAACTTTAGGCAAGGCTCTTGAGATTAAGGCCCCTCACATTTCTTCCCAATCAATTGGAAAAGGAACCTATCTAACTTAGAGAAGGAAGGGGAAGATTGAAAGTTTGACTTGGTAAAATCGACTTGTATTAGGGGAAGCTCCTTCAGCTCAAGGGAGTCGGTCAGACCATTAAAATTCCTCATGCTAGTGGTAATGCCCTTATTTGGATTATTTGATTTTCTCTCGAGAATCTTATGACATTAAAATGTAACATGTAACATGTTTCTATCTCTATAAGAATGGTGGAGTCTTACTTGTAAAAAGAAAACAAAAAAAGAAAAAGAATGGTGGAGTCTGTCTACCTCGAGAGTGATGGAGAAAGAAGAGTTCTCACTTGGAAGGATTTGGAGAAGATTCATCAAGTTGGAGATGAAAGAATGCTATTGGAAGAGTTGTTCCAATGGAAGGAGTTTATAGTGAAGATTTGAGAAGAAAAGGGGGTAGTCTTTCTAGTAGGTGAAGCAGTTTTCTGGTTTCAAAGCTTTTTCGACGGAGTGACGCATGCAAGCTGGCATTCAGACTGGAGGAACACCTTTAGATACTTGACGAAAGAGTATGTAGCAAAAAGAAAGAGAAACTCAAAATGTTAGTTTGTGACTTTGGAAGAAAGGTTTGAAAAGGGAAGGAAACAATTGATTGTCATACCAAAAGGTTGAAATCTAGAAGGTTGGGTAAAGGTAGTAAACGAACTGCATCAAGTTGTGATTAGAAGAGTGGCTACAATGAAGCAGAAGAAGATGGAGAAAACATCGGTCAAAGGAGGGTTGGGAAAGTAGGAAATGAAGGAGAGAAGGAAGAGATTGGAGAGGTTGGTGATTGAAGGCGTAAAGGAGAGGGAAGATACTGTGACGGTTACTCTGTCTACCTTGGAACCAAAATTGTTTGTAGATGGGGAAAAAGGAGACAGGGAGCGGAGGTTAGATTTATCTGCAAAGAGTGGTGAAGGATTAGAAGAAAATTCTGGAGGAGGTTTTGAAGAAGGTATGCAAATACTCATACCTTTTGATGAAAAGAAAGCAGTGTTGTATGTGGGAAGTGAAGCATTGATTTTACTATTGTTGAAACACAATAGGGAACTATGATGGTAGAAAACTGGTGTCCTTGTGTAACTTGAAGAATCTTAGTGATGGAAGCTTTCGATTGAAGCTCCTAAGGGTACTATTTAATTTGTGATAGAAATCTATTCTTGAAAGAGCTTTGTCACCATGGGTGGAGCCCCATCTCCTTCAAGATGATGGATTTAAGAGCAGTAAATCTGAGGATTGCTAGTGTCAAGCCTGAAGCCATTCCATGATCTCTTGACCTGTTTGCTTGTATCAGAAATGTATGGTTACTAACATATTGATAACATCATGTGAGATGTTGATTGGTTAAAGAGTAGCTTTTTCGTACCAAAGAAATTTCCCATGTTGGCTATATTATCTGGTCCAATTGGGAATGGAGACATGACAAAGAGCTGAGTTGATGGCATTACTACATTGAGTAAGGTTCTTAAGTATGGAGATTGTTGGAAGGGTTAGGATCCATCATATAGATGGCCGAACCATGCGAAGTCTGGGCGAAATTTCAAAAATTTCCTAATCCTTCTGAGAATCAAATTCCCTATGTTCTTAAAAACTGCATTTTTCAGGATCAGTCTTGCACTGAACCGGACTAGATTTGAAACCAAACAAAGAGAGATGTATACCTGATATAGATACCACAAACACAGATCCCAAGGTGGAAGTTCATGCTCAAATTAGTCTTAAAACCAGCTGAAGATGGCGCAGTGTGTATTTGAAGCCAGTTTAGCAACACAGTTTTTTGCAAAACAGAGATCCAACAGTTTGGATCAAATTGAGGATAATGAGCCTAATATTCGTTGAATTGTTCTTGCAAAAATCAGAGGAAAACTATCTAAATCAGTCCCAGATACCTGATGTTGAACTGGGAAAAACTAGGATACAAAAGGGTGTAGAGAGAACTAGAAACTACAAAAATATGAAGCTGTCTTGGACTGGTCCGCCCCATCCTCTTTTATAATCTCTTATGGAGCTATCTGCTAATCTAATTAGGAGATAATCCAGATCTAAATCCGATCTGGACTCTAATTAGAGATATACCTTATCTTCTTATAAGATCAGGTGCTCCATACCCAGATCCAAACCCAGATTCGCCCCATGTCACATGACAACTTAAGCTTATGGGCCTTAGTCCCATCAGCTATAGGCTCACAATTCCAGAGTGTTGCTTGGCCCACTTAGGCCTGATTTGTATGGCATGGGACCCCACAATGACCTCACATAAGTCCACATGGGTTCGGCCCAGCCTCTGTGAAAAGGCTTGGCCGAATTCATTGCTAAATGCAGTGAATCCCTGGGCACATCACTATGGGCTCAATATAGGCCCAACATTTACACTTAAATGATCCTTGAATTCAGCCATCATATGAAGACCTAAGGATAATGGACTTAAGCAAGATAAAGCCCATCAGTAGACCTGTTCATAGGCCTAGCTTTTACTCTTCATAAACAGGATTTTGTTAGGCCCGAGCCCGAGCCCGAGCCCGGCCCGACCAATGGGCCTACAACTTGGGCCCGAGCCCAGCCCTGATAAAAAGCCTGAAGCTCGACCTAATAGAGGACTCACCGCCGGTGACTGTGGTCACTGGTGCTGAGTTCGCCGGTGAGCTGAGATTTTAACAATGAAAAGTGAAGTTAGTTCGCGTCTGTGAGAGAGAGAGAGAGAGAGGACTCACCGCCGCCACCGGTGCCTGTGTTCGTTGCCTTGTCGGTGTCTGAGATTTGATAGAGAAGTGAGAAGATGAATGAGAGAGAGAGAAGACTCACCGCCGGTCAGCCGGAGTTTACTGGTTGCACCGGTGAGTGTTGAGGATGTGATGTGAATCACTGTGAAGAGAAGAGACTAGAGGTTTGGCAGTTCAGTTTTAACTCGAAAGAGATGGATGAGGAAGAGGGGTTACTTAGGATATTAGGGTTTTTGAGTTTAACCTACAGGTCGGGCCGGGCTGGGCTATTTTGGCAAATCCTGAGCCTGGCTCGAATTTATTGCTGGCCAGGATTTTTGGCCCAAGGTCAAGCTTGCGGTCTCAAATGTATGTTCAAGCCCATCCGGGATCGGGCCACCTGGCCTATGAACAGGTCTACCCATCAGGTAATCACCCCTTAATGGTCTCTTACACTTAACCTCTTGGCCCATAATGGTCAACACTGCATGATAGGGAAGGACCACTCCCCTGGCTGCAAGGTGTAGTGTCACACTCTCTACTCGGATGGATCTTGAGAATTAGAACCTTTTTGCAAGAATTTTCATAAAACATTAATATATACATATCATAAATATATTTTGCAAAATCAGATTTCAAAACACTGTTGAAATTCACTACCGGCAGTTCAGGTTTCCATTAGAGAGAGTGTAAACCTATCATTCACTTTGTCCGACAAAGGGGCCGATCCTACCAGTATGATCACCCACTTAGGTGAATTCTCAGACTGCTCCAACATACCCAGGTTTTGACCTTGATGGATCTCATTGATTGGCATATCAAAGATAGCCCAATCTAACACCTAGTGTAGTACCATAATCAAGTCTAGGGGTTATCTGTAGCTTTCTAGTTTTGCCCATCAATCTCCAAGGCCTAGGACATAACTGGAAAATGGTCCGGTTTTGCTTTGGGTCTAACCCTAACAGCTGAGACAAGCTGCCCCAACTTCTTTGGCAGTACATCAGTGATAGCCTTGGTAGGATAAATTCCCCAAGTCTATCCAACGGCTGAGAACATTCTAAACTAACACGAGTCTCATAAGTGTCTAGTTTATGGGGTAATTTCACAGAAACATACCAATATCAACTTGAAATAATAATGTACTTTTATTCATTTACAATAAATGTATCTGTACATCAATTTGATTGGAGCTAAGGGCATACACTGTCTAACAGAGATGTGATAATGGTAGGTGACAGTTGGGTTGTAGTGGGATGGCTCAAATTCAAGAAACTAGGTTCATGAAAATACAGGCATATAGTGAGAGGAGCAAGAGATTTGTTTGTGGTGTGAGAAAAGTTTTCTCTTGGATTAATAGGTCTATCAATGTATGCTTTTGCCAAATGAGGAGCCAGTAGAAGTGAATTATTTTGGGGACTGATCACCTAGAATAGAAAATGTGAACAAAATGTAGCAAGGAGTTAGGGGGAGGGCTACCTTAAATTTAAAGGGATCCTATTGACACACAAATTTGTGGTTACATGCATGCATGCATGTATTTATTAATATTAAATACATGTATTAGTCTACCTTTTGTTAATGCAGTTTGAAAAGTAATATTTTGGTGCTTAGCTAAAAATAAAATAAATATTCTTGCTGTATATTTTTTATTTTTGAATGAATGCATCCCTGGCAATTGAGTTATGAGTACTAACTCTAAGCAAACAGATTCTAATTCTTGCAGATGAGTCTGTGGAGGACTCCATTGTTCACTCTGATTCACGATCTCTAGCTACCCTTCTTCTAATCCGTGACATTCAGGTAATTATCATTATTGAGGCAATTTTTCTTCCACCTGTGGGTGTATGCACTCATAATGTGCATCATGCATCACAGTACAGTACAAATTCTCACAGTGCTTTTAGCTATCATCTATCATTTCAATTTGAATTTTATGTCTCTAGCTGCGTACCAAACTATTTCTAACAAATTCCTATTCCTTGTGGATTTCAGTCCAAGCGTCTTCCATATAAAGAGGCAAAATCACCTACTCTTCGGCATTCTGGATGTTCCCATAGTTCTTGGATTCGGGAAATGCAACAAGCATCAGACAAATCAATAATTATTAGTGAGATCCTGGATTCTAGAACAAGAAACCTGGTTTCTGTGTCCAGGATCAGTGATTATGTTCTATCAAATGAGCTAGTAAGTATGGCACTAGCCATGGTTGCTGAAGACAAGCAAATTAATCGGGTTCTTGAGGAACTGTTTGCTGAAAAGGTACACTGTATGCATATAAATATATTGATTATCTACCAAAAAAAGAATATATTGAATATCTGATAAAGACTGACCCAAAAAAAAGATAAATAAGTGAAAGAAAAGGAAAAGGAAGCTAACAAATACTGTTATCCCATGTTATTATGCTCATATCATGTGTTTACCTCTAATTTTTGAAGCTAAATTTCATTTCTTGAGACTTATCTATTGCCAAATTTAATTAATTTTCTAATGTGTGTAGATAACTTTGTAGTATAATTTGTTGAAACTTACCACTTTACATATTTTAAAAAGCATTATCTAGAGTCTTTGTGGTTATATAATCCTCCTGTTGTAAGTTAGATTTACACAGATAAATATGGAAAGAACATTAGATTAGTTTATGGATGACTACTTTTTGTATAGCCCTAAATTCAAGAAGTTTAAACAGGGGTCATATTGTTGTTCTAGTGCAAATACATCACAGCAAATTGTGATTGTATTGCCAGTTTGGTCAAACTTGTTTAGAAAAGAAAAGAGAAATTTTAATGGTTAAGGTGCAGGCCTAATCTTATTTGCCATTTCTTTTTGTCTCAGATCCCACTGGTCATAATGATCTATTGTTCTTTGATAAGATAACACACACAAATTGGGAAAACCAAAGGCCTGCTGTTTTCAGTTTGATCAAGATGTGCTTTTTATTCTGGTTTTCTGTCATAAAAAAGGAAAATGGTGATAGCTGATGCTCATCCCATGGAGACTTGAATTGATGATATTTCCTGTTCAACTTGAATTTTAAATTTGTTCTGATCTGAGTTAATACCTTGTACAGGGGAATGAGATGTGTATTAGACCGGCAGAATTCTATCTCTATGACCAGGAGGAGCTATGTTTTTATGATATAATGGTACGAGGTCGACAAAGACAGGAAATTGTGATTGGCTTTCGCCTTGCAACTGCGGAATGTGCCATAATCAATCCTGTGAGAAAAGCTGAACCGAGAAAATGGTCCCTTGATGATGTATTTGTTGTGATCTCCCAAGGAGAACAAAAGCAAAATGATAGTATCAATCATGCAAAATGTACGAGAACTGTTCCTTCAATGTGAAGCTGCATTCCTACACAAGTATGTGTTCATCGTTGTTGGCAATGGATTCAACTGTATTGCTTAAACCCAGGCAATGCATTTGATCGTAAATTATATGTAGCATCCTGGCTTGTTGGGATTCCCATCCTCCCAACTTGCCTCATGTCCCATGTCTAGAACAAGACCCACTCGTTTAGATTAAAAATTTCACATCTGCCATCTTCCCTGTCGCAGCAAAACCTCCTGGATTTGATTATAGAATGATCCCAACCAAAGTTTCTTTAGGATTTGCAGTGACATCTTCAAAGTTTTTTCACGTTTCTGGCCTTGGCAATAACCGCACTACAGAACAAATATTTGTATCTATAATACTTATCAAGGGGGCATTACTTGGTGATAGTAAAATCTCGGGCTGTCAAACTCAAGGCATCCGCGGCTGACACTCATTTATGCTTGTTGGTTCCTAAAGCCACAAGAAGCCATGCATTTCTTATATGTTGGGTTGGGATTGTTGGTTGGCATGGAAGTTAGCACTACAAATATAATACTTTATCTTTGTTAGAGGATGGTTTGAGTTACAAAGATCTCTTTGGGTGTAAGAGCCCCATCTTATGGCATCCTTAATGCTTACAATATGTGAAGGCCCCTATCAGCACTCCGCTGGGAGCATCCATCTAAGCCAAAGAGCTAGGATCCAGTCTTAAAAAAGAACTTAAGATTAGAGACAAATAATACATTTCTTGGGCTGCTTAGACGACAGCCACCAGTTTATTCGGTCTCTAATTTAGTGCTAGCTCTCAAGAAGCTTATAGCAAGATCAAGGAGTAAAAGTGATCTCGATAGTTTCATCTACAATGTGTAAGTAGAGAGGGAGAGAGAGAGGTGAAGAACAGTGGCATCACGTTAGAGTAAGATGTGCATGAATTAAGAAAGGATAGATGAAGGGCAGGCAGAAGCATAAAGCCATAATAACTACTACAAAAAACAAAGAAAGAAAAGCTTGAGAGTAAGATTCTTTCCTTCATGTAAGGTAATAATAAATCTCAATTTAGAAGTGTTTGTTGTCTTTTGAGACGTCTTCTAGGGTGTTTCGTAACGTGGATGAGAGTACGTGTTTTTTATGATAACAAATTTATTGAGAGTAATAAATGAATATGCTAAGAATACAGTTGTATCCATTGAGCTAAAAATGATTAACAATTGTTAAGAGAAGGAAAATATGAACAAAGGTCTGGGCATTGTCAATATTCTCTACGAAGATGATAATTCAAATAATAAACTAAGAAGGAAGTTTGCTACTAACGCTCAGTTAGGAAGGAGTACAAATAGAGATATGTAGAGTGCAAAACCCTTGTATTTTATATTATTTTGCATGTATTTGTACTGTATATATTTATATTTGTACTATAATGGCAACTATGAGAGAAACAAAGGGTTTTGATGAAGGAAGATTTGGCCCGACCTCGTAACAACTCAACACGTGGAAAGGCAGCAGCTCGGCACAACAGTACGCCCAAGGCGTGAGCTCCGAAAAGAGGAACCCGCGGTCCAAACTCCCCACAAGGAGCCTGAGCTCTCCCTTGGACCCCGAGCCTTACAAACACAAAGGGCAACAACCCGAACTGGCCCGCCCCATGGCAGTTTAGGCCACACCTCTATCCGAACTCAAGACTTTACCTCGCACACTACTCCAGCACTTCGCCTCTAGGACAACGAACTGAACAACCACACCGTACCTGACACCGAAGGAGTCAGTATCCAGGGGCGGCGCACCTGACTGACTTGGGATCTGACGCTTGACAGTCGCACTTCAACAGCCACCTACCACCGCCATCTCCAGTTACAGAGACGGCTCCGACAAAGAGAGCAGTGGCGGTTCTGCCCCAGTAGAGGTTATGACACCCGAACTGGCAGAAGCGTAGAGGTAATCATACCCGACCTGACAGAAGCTTAGGAGTGAGTGCACGAAGTGGTTATAAAAGGCTCTCTACCCTCCAAGAACGAGGTATGTGAACTTTGCGCCATCTGGTTTTATCTTGCCTTTGAGGAAATACTAACTTGAACTTTGGAGCATTCTCACCGGGTTCTTCCCCGGAGATTACTCGTTTTCTCCCCCGTTTCAGGCACCTTGTGCTCCAGCCCGAGGCAAGATCGTTGATAGCTAGGACCGGCCGGATTGCGCACCATCAATTGGCGCCGTCTGTGGGAACGCTTCTAAAAGCCTCCCTCTAAAACTCTCATAACCTCTTTTTTCCAAAAAACCCCAACACTCATGGCTTCTTCCAGCAATGTCGGACGAGGCACGGAGATGAACACCACTAGGGAACAACTTCAAGTCCCTGTGGTGTGCATCAGACAGTTCACCATCCCCCTTCCGGTGGATGGGATCCCTAGCCTGAATGTGCCACGAACAGTGGTGCCCGTAAACCTTCCCGCCATGAACATCCCCTTTTCTCTCCCTGTCGAAACAACCTTTACTAAACCAACTGCTGTCCCCCTAGCGACCAGCCAGAACCAGTTTGACGACCTGATGCAATGCATGCGAGCAATGCAAGCCCAAATGCAACAATTCTAGCAGCACCAAGTACTGCACCACATCTCTCAGTATCACTATCAGCAGCAGTTCCCCCAACTGCCTCTGAACCAACCACWGCTTCCACCTTGGCACCTTGCTCCAAAGCCGGTTAAGCCCTCCCCTCAGGGTGGACGCCATCACCGAGGAGAACCCTCCCAACTTCAGAACCCCCACAAGAGCCAGACCTCATCCCCGGACCGAGGGGAAAGAAAAATCACCCCCGCCTCACAGCTCGCTGGCGGGTTGGGAACCTCGCCCGCCAAGTCAGTATCTCGGCACTCCAAGTCTGAGCTCCCGCTGACAGAGAATCGATTCAGCGTCCTAGCGGCAGACTACCAACAGTCCGGGCCCATCAAGCTCGGCAACACAGAGGCCGGCAGCGCTAGTACCAGGCCCACTCAGCAACGAAGGCGCCGGCGAAGTCGCCGAACTGCCACCCGTGTCCTGCCCGAGCTCAGAGGTAAAGAAGAGACAAGCTCGGACGAGGTAAAAGCTGCCCCTATTCTCTCAGTTCCTTCCCCCCTC